GATTTGGAAAAACTCAACTCATCAGGTGTTTGATCTTAGAAGTTTGACTTGGTCTAGTTTGAAACTGAAAACTGAATCTTCAAGTGGTGAGAACACTACTGAGGAGGAAGATGTTAGCTTACGGGAAGCTTTTCCTGCTATTTCAGACCACCGTATGGTAAGTCCTTTACATGAAGAAGCATTTTGGCAATCATATTTGAAAATGTTAAATTCGAACATTTTGGCAGATCAAGTGGGGAAACAAGCTTCTTCTGATCGGGGGTTACTCCAAGATTTCGTCAGATAATATGTCAGGTAAGCCATATCCAGCTTGCTTTTTGATGTTCTGTGAGATGCAAAAGAATCACGTGGATGCTCTTTCAGATGCTTACTGAGTGTGTTGATTCTTCCTTACAGTGCAGTTCATCGATTTGGAAACTCATCTTTGTGGAGTCATTAATGCGTCGGGAAATGTTCCGGTAGGAAAACAGTTATCTGAATTGCTCCTCACACATTTTATGTTCCGGAAAGCTATATACCTTCCATGTTTTATAGGTGTCACGTGGTGGACATTCCATTACACTGGTCGGTTCCCGAGTTTTTGTTTTTGGTGGTGAAGATAAGAACAGGAGGCTGCTGAATGATCTGTATATGCTTGATCTTGAGACAATGACTTGGGATTTGCTAGAGACAACGTAAGTTTATGGAAAAGTGCAGTAGTTAGATCCATGCTTTATGTTTACTGCAGTTTTGTCTGCCTGATATTACATCTAAATTCTCCGTAATCGTTTCATGCACTTTTCTCGTTTGATAGGCAGACACGCCCAGTTCCAAGATTTGATCACACAGCTGCTACACATTCTGGACGTTACCTTTTGATTTTTGGTGGTTGTTCTCATTCTATCTTCTTCAGTGATCTTCATATCCTTGACTTGCAAACAGTAAGTACATTTTCTCAAAATTGCTCTATTATTCATGTCATTTTCTGATGAAACTGTTATACTCATGACAGATGGAGTGGTCACAGCCTCATGTTCAGGGAGATGCTGTATCTCCTCGGGCAGGACACGCTGGAATAACCATTGACGAAAACTGGTATATAGTTGGGGGCGGTGATAACAGTACCGGTAAATGCACTCTTTGCTTCTATATCTACGCCTCCTCTTTGCTTAACACGTTTTTGCAGTTAATACTCTGCATCCTCTTCTCTGTAACTCTTTTCTTTCGCACGCAGGCTGTTTAGAGACCCTTGTTCTAAATATGTCGAAGCTGGTTTGGTCTACATCAGCCTATGTAGAAGCAAGGCATCCACTTGCTAGTGAGGTCGATACTTCCAAAACAAATCCGGAATTAGATTTTTCTTTCCTAACCAAGTGTTCTAATATGTTGTATGATTCAACTGCAGGGTCTTAGTGTGTGCTCAGCATCAGTATTTGGCGAGAACATCTTAGTAGCTTTTGGCGGCTATAACGGGAAGTATAACAACGATGTAAGCCCATCTCATTAGATTACAACTTATACAACCCTTGTCTATTGATTTGTCTTTATCCATTATATCCGGCTTTTGTTGTCTTTTCGCACAGATATTTGTCATGAGACTTAAACCAGAAAAATCTTCGCATCCTAAAATCTATAAGTCGCCAGCAGCCGCTGCAGCTGCAGCTTCCGTCACTGCTGCTTACGCCATAGCCAAGTCAGATAAGTCAGACTATCCTCCGCCTGCAAAGCCAACTCTCAATGGAATAGGAAACAATTCCTCGGAGAGAGATATTAGGACCAGAATCGATACCATTAAAGAAGAAAAAGGAAAATTGGAGTCATCTGTTGCAGAAACCCAAGTAGAAAACTCGAAGCTAAGGGAAAAGATAGATGAAGTCAATAGCAGCCACGCTGAACTATCTCAAGTACGTCATCTTTAACTGTCAAAAGCTAATTATTAGTATCCCTTTTTGAGTTCTACGAACACGATTCACAATCTTTTGACATTATCGCAGGAACTACAATCTGTACAAGGTCAACTTATTTCAGAACGGTCAAGATGCTTTAAACTTGAGGTTTATAAGTCTTCCCCTGCCGTCATAGTTCCCTTTTAATCTCTCTCTTTGCTCTCAAACTCAACCGTGATTCTATCTAATGGCATGGCTCAGGCACAAATAGCGGAATTACAGAAAGCATTGGAGTCAGGACAATCCATTGAAGCCGAAGTTGAGATGCTTAGAAGACAGAAGTCAGCATTTGAAGAAGGAGAAGACGGGACCGTACGAAGGCAAGGCTCTGGTGGTGTGTGGGGTTGGATTGCAAGGTAAAATCCCAAACGATTCGGATACGCAAATATATAAAATTTCAAGAGACTCAACGTTCGAGTCCAACAGAGACAGAATCAAACAATGGTTATAAAGTACTTACTTTTGAGAATGAGAGACCAGTGTGGGAATTTAAGTTCTTTCTTATTTATTACAAAGATTTAAAATCAATTTGTTTGTTATGAATGCATTTGTTTCATCCTAAATTATTGGAGAATTTATATCATTTCAGTTTAAAACATTTAAAACCAATGCCTCCAACAGTAACAACTAACAACGATCAAATGATGACTGTCGCAATGAAAAAAGTTTTATGTTCTTATTTCTTAAAACTCAATCTAGAAATATAAAGAGAATTCAAAACTACACAAAAACACTTTAAAAAGAGAAATAAATATTGGGCAGCAAAGTACTGCCAATGTTAAGCCTATATAATTGGAAAGGTACAAACACGAAACAGTC